CATAGGATCGAATTGCCCTAATTTATGTTTGATTGGCAAATTTCACAACAAAAGAAATACTACGATACAAATTCAATCGTTCTAGATCGAAAAAACCGTATGAAAACTCCAAATAATTCAATATGAAGGAGTCTCTGATACCAAATGTTGGAATAAATCCGATAATACTTTAATCTTCTGGAATTATCTAGAGAAATAACTGAGCGGAAGCGTACCTGACTCCATTGGAGATGATCTTTAGAGATCCGGGAGACAGAAGTCAGAAGCTAGGATTTGCGTCTTCTAGTTGATACATACACACCTTGGGGACTATCTCTCTAGCGATGGGATGCAGAAAGACGGAATGACATGTTCGATCATAAACCCTTTATTTTATAGAGAATGTTTAACCCTAATCAGCCCATCATTAATTAGGTTAAGCCCGTGAGTCTACACATTTGGTCCCTATACCTTAATAGATAACTTATTATCCCACTTAAATTAATATCCATAGGACCACTAATTTTTGGGCTAAATATAAGATAGCATATAACATACAATTAAACCTAATAAATAATATATTGTGAATATTATATGTAGTGTAAGTCCAATAATCTAACAGTCACAACTAAGAACTGAGGCAAATTATTATACATGTAGTGATACTACATATCATATTTAAGGATGCTTTTAATTTAACTCAAATTTTCTAATTTGGTTTGGATTGATATATAATTTAAGTCTAGTATGATACGGTAAATGCTTGACTTATGTGTATTTTACTACGGAGTATTATTTAATTAATTAACTTTGGTGTAGGTTGATGTCATCCAGTGTGATCTGGTTTATCCTGGTCTAAACTAATTTGCTTGGTATGGTCTAGATCCGTAATTTATCTAATTAAAAACATCTTATGCTACTATTAGAACTGCCAATAGAAACTTAATTAATCTAACTCTTTCAAGCTAATAATTTTTTGTGATTTATTTTAAAAATCACATGCATGTCTTTGCCATTTAGGGATTCACAAGTAGGAGCACTGTGTTATATGCTAGCGGCCACCCATAGCCTCTGACCCTTAGATTATTCCGAGAATTAGGGCCGATTACGGTACAACCAGATACCCTCAATATCTCGCTGACGTCATCAACAAGTCAGCGCTGATGTTAGTAACACGTGACACGTCAGCGCCCACATCCTGATTCGCCTGCGTGTCAGCCACGTCGCTCACATATTTTTATAGGGAGTATATTTTACGTTACTGAGAAATAAAAATATGGTAGATTCTATGGTATCCTTGAGGTACCACACCTTTGTCCATATGGACCAATCAGGATGATGCAGTTGAATTATTTAAATCTAAATTAAAAATATATATAATGATTTGGACCAATCAAATGCATGGTAGGTACGGCACCCCATTTTTTAAATGGGTACTGGAGTTGTCACTTAAAAATACTCCGTATAACTTTCGTAAAACTGTCAATTACTCCCGTTTTGGTAACATAAAACTTCAAGTTTTATTTTTGTTTTTTAACAATGTTTTACTTCTTTCATAAAAAAACAATGTTTTATTCTATTCGGGTAATTTGGGAAATCCAATTTAAAGCATATAAGGATGCATTCTTTTTTTCTTTATACCTTTAAGGTAAATTCTATGATAAGCATACATCTGTCCACATGGACCAGTCAAAATATTGTAGTTGAATTATTTAAATGAAAATTAAAAATGATATATTACCCTGGAGACCTGGACCAATCAAATGAATGATAGGTATGGTACCTCGTGTTTTATTTGAATACCGGTGTTCTCACCTATATATTTAAGGTAGATTCTATATTGGCTAAAGGGTCAAATAGACCCTTGAACTAACTTAAAGTGTTCATAATGTTCACATATTTGACTCCTTAGCCTTCTATATTTAAACCCCTTCACAATGTTCACATACCATCCATTTCAATCGGAATATATAGATCAGACTATCAGAGTAAAGAACAGATGATCAAGAGGGGTAAGCAATCATTATGTGCCTGGGTGGTTGCCGCAGCTATAGTCACAGGAATAATTTTTTTCATCGTGGGAATCGTGTGGTTGGGCCGATGGTTCGGAGGGATCTTCCACGAACCCATGGGCGGATCTATGTTGGGGCAGGGGTGGGCTCCAACCCAGCCCAGCCCAATTTATTTTTAGGGGAATTCTAAATACAGCCATCTATTTGCTAAACAAAGCCAAACGAAATTCTCTTAAAAAATTAATTATTTATAATTCCTAATGTACCCTTTATAAAGAAAGTAACAAAACCTCATCGTATAGTCCATAGATGTTCGAACTATGACTTCTTGAAATACGAAGAAAAACTCATTACATGGAGGGGAAAAGAACAAATCACCTACTACTATAGATGATTGCTATAGATGTTTTTAGTTTCTCTCCAAGTTTCTTTCATTCTTATTTCTCTGTGTTACTTGCCTACTTCCGTTTCTATCTCTGGTTTAAGCCTTACCCGGAAGCTTCCAGATTAGAAATTTACGGAGCAATATAGGAGCAAAAGCCATAAAATAAAATAATGTTTTTTTAATGTAATAACGATGTATTACAACCCTCAATACTTGAGAATTCAACAACTTTGCTCCCCCATGTCCATCGTATACCCCAAAAATCCCTACTTCGAATAATTTGGAACAATTTGTGAGGACGTTCTATATGTACAACGTCAAGACTATCATGACTACTTAGGATCTGATCGTGCTTTGATCTGCACCTCAGAGAACAAACCTTCGGGACTCAAATCTGGATGTTGTCTGGAGAAGCCTTAGACCCCGTTTTCGATGGAGGCTGCGGCAAGTTTTATCGCATCAAGGGCTGTATTATTCTAGAGGGCAAATTAGATATTTGTATTTATTTAATTTAATAAATATTTAATTAAGGGGCTGTACTTAGCAATAGAGAGGCTGTGAATAGAACTTCCCTATTTTTATTATTATAGGTATATGTTTAATTTCCAGTCCACCTCAAAATTAATGTCTAGCCCAGTCCAAGCCTACTAACTTTGTAATTCTATTTGATTATTAATTGAATTTTTTCAGTAGATTGTAAAATAGTTTTTATTTATTATAAATTTATAATGATTAAAGATAGAATTAAAGATTAGAAAATGATTTATTTATTATGCAATTAATTAATAGAGAACGATGTATTTACTGTTTAGGCATGTAAGAATGGATTCAAAATCTCAATTCAATTTTAAAATTGGGAATACTTATTAGTTTTATGTACATCGACTATTTTTACTTATTAGGTTTATATTTTCATAGAAGTATTTTGATTCATATCAATAAATACTAAAATCTTTAATAATCAATAATAAAATTATAAATCACACTAAAAACGTTTAAATTTTAGATATACTACCTCCATCTCGTTTTATTTAGCCATCTTTGACTCTTTAGTCAAAGATGGTAAACTTTGATCCATCATTTTAACTCATGTATGAATGTGAAACTTACTAAATTTATACTTTTATGATAAACTTTTTAACAAAGAACATTTCCATTTCATTTTCATATTATCAATTTTATTGTATAAATATATAGTCATTCAGAGTTTAACTTCTTTGACTTGAAAAGTCAAATTAGTCTTAATAAAAGTGGGCGGAGGTAGTATATAGTTTGTTTCTATAATTTATAAGTTATCAATATGCTCGAGTCCAGATCGAACTGAACATGACTATGCTCGAATTCAGCTTGAATAACTATTCAAACTCAAAAAAATAACGGCCGCTTTTTTTGTAAAAACAAACTATTTAAACTAAAATTTAGCCCGTGTTCGAGATTGAAGCTCGTTAAGATTTGATCATTAAATTAAATTCAAAATCACGATCGAACTCGAGTAGTTCGAAAAAAAACTCAGTTCAATAACTATCGGTCTTAAGCTAAACCTTTTTGTATGCAGTAACGAAAATTTTTATTGCTTAGCCCACCCCACCCCTCATTCCTGGATCCGCCCCTGCACGAACCCAACCCGCCGGAATTCACGTACCCTCGAGAATGCGCTCATCTCCGACATCGAATTTCGCCCCCAGGACAACCGCTACACCGCCGCCTTCCACTTCACCCTCAAACCCTACAACCCCTACAAAAACGGCACCACCCTTATCTATGGCTTCAACACCACTTCAGTGGAGGTTGGTTTGTATTACCCCATTTTTTTCATTGGCATGGACGGCACTGAATATCGCCACCGTCCGTACGAGGGTTACGTCGATCTTGCGTCCACCTCCGTCGCCATGGTTCCGCCGTTCAAGCAGTCGAGCGGGAACGTCACTACGCTCCCGCTCGTACTTCAGGCAAATGACCTGAAGCTTGACGGCAACGCCACAACAGCCATCCAGCAACAAATGAATGTTTCGAATGCGGTCAACGCCACCGTTACCGTGACCGCTGCGATTCAGATTCAGAAGGGTGCTGGCTCCAATCCCAGATCTCAAGGGCTCCTTGTGAAATGCGTCGTTACGTTTCCGGACAGTGCTTCGCAGCAGAGTGGTTTCAACGAGACACAAAAGTGTGATTCACACTTGTGCGAGGATTCCAAGTTAAGCTGCCTGGAAGAGGCTGTTTGACCTTTTTAGGTCATTCATGATTCATCAATGACGTGATTTTATGTTTTTTTTTAAAAGAAAAAATCACTTATATAATATCACTAGGCCGGGTTGTGATGGTTAATCAAAATCAAAGAGACCAATTCAATACTTTTAAAAATACTAGGTATGAACTATTTCAAAGCCGATTGCTTCTAATGTTAGGAGCGGAGTAGTTTTGTTGTTGTTTCCTATTTTGGTTAGTTTTTCCCATTAAAAAGTCTGAGTGATCAATTTTGTGATTGAGTGATTAATTAAGTCGAGCTTTTAATTAAGTCGTGAGTAAACCTGGTTTAATGATTGAATGATGATGTTACTGTTTTCATTATTAATTCCATTGTGTCGAAAGTATTCAACTTCTAAGAGCAATCCAGGAGAATGATTGTTTATTTGTTTATATCATACTCCGTAGTTGACGTATCAATTTGAGTGATTGGTATGAGCGTCAAGGGTTAGAGGGTCTGGCGATTCTGGCCACTCATCGGGAGTCCGGCGTTAAAGCCGGCGATAGAACTGAGACCACAGCCGCCGGAGCAGGGATTTCAATTCTTTTCGGTTCTTTCGTCACACCTATAGCCGAGACTGACCAACAACGCACAAATGCGACCTCAGACTTCCAGGCTAAAAAGGGGATCTGCCATGGATCTACATTCGAGGAAGGGACTGCAATAGGACGACCAGCTACTCGACCGGAACTAGACGGGACCTCACCAAACCCAAATACCCAACGATGGAGACAGGATATCAATAGATCCCGAGTAGGCCTCAAACCATCGACGATGCACTCGGAACGGCGTCTGTCAGCTCGGGGGTCTGGGAACCACTATTGGAGAAGCATAGATGCAGGCCATCCATGGAGAAGATATGATCACCCAAGCGTGAAGTTTTCCATTACACAGTCCCGACGAGCATCATCGACTGTAGAGCAACGAGTCAGGGGGATTCCTTCTCACGAGAGGCGCAGGACAGATGCTCGTGATGCAAACCATCGATGGAGAGGCTGCGGAGGACAGAGTAAGAAGTTTCCTCAATCCCGGCTAGCTCTAGTTGGGCGAGATGTACATCATCGCAGGAGGACTCCAATTGCACACAGGCAGCGCAAGACAGATTTCAACTACAGGGGGAGCCAATCAGCTGTGGAGTACACAGATTTATGTGGTAATTCTCTCCATCAACCTGGGAGGTTAAAAAACTGTTCTGATGGATTTATTGAAAGTAAATATTTTTCCTTTCAAGCATCAGATTCACACATTCGCATTACAGAAACAAAACATGGGTTATTTTCTAGTATTGATTTTGATAGTGATGGTGCCATTTGGTTGATTAAATGTTTGCCAAAGCTTCGATCTGGAAAAGTCATATCAAGAATAGTTTTAAGCAAATGCATCACTCTTCTTTTGGATGGCAATCATTTTGGGGGATATGTAAGAATTTTTTCAGGCTCAGACTCTATCTTCATACCGGAAGGTAAAAATGGGGTTGGTATCACTAGGTTCATTGCAGGTCTTTCACGGGCTATCTCTACAATCACGGAATCAGCTCCTAAGCAGGAACATTCGCGAACTGTCGAACAAAATCCAAATGGGACTTTTTCTACAGATGTTGAAATCATCAACGATGTCATTAAGCGCATGGATTGCTATTCTATGGAGACCAAGGAGCTTACTATTTCAGATGTCCTAGTGCATGCTGATTCAGTACTTTCTGGGAGAACTCACAACACTTTGGGCATTTCTCATACAATCTCATCTTTTGATCCTTCTCATTTTTGTTCCGTGTTAGATCATTCTATTTCAGAGCTGAAATCATTTCTTCAGGATATTATGAACTCGAGTGTGACCAATTTGACAACTTTCCTTTCCAAGGAGTATGAGCGTATTATGACACAACATCATGAGAGTAAAAAATATGAGGATGGGCTTGCCATTGAGCAAAGCAAGGATGGAAATGGGGGCGCTCAGTCAGAAGAAATCAAAGAAAACACAGTATATACGGAGCGGCGCTTTGAACACTCGGATTTTTCAGATTGTGATATTCTGGAGCATGGCTCCTCAAGGGGAATTGGAGAGTATGTTGATTCAGATTTCGGGGATACATATCTTGGACACACTTCAGATAACGAAAAGCGGACTCCTATATCAACAGTGGAGGATTTATGGGATTTTGACACTAATCAGAATATTTGTAATAAGGCATTACTTGTCACAAGGGATAACTGTTTGCCTACAAGTAATCTGAATCTGCAAATGAAAACTTACAAAAAGAGGACTCCACATTCACATCGTATGAAAACACGATCTCAAACTCGCAAGGAGCGTTGATGTTGATAAAGGGAGTTAGGGTTTTTTTGGGTAGGGAAAAAAATGTATTTGGGGATTGGGTATTTCCTTTTCTTTTTCTTTTTGTTCCTCTTCTGTCTTCTTTTTTCATTTGTAATCGTTTATTTTGTTATCCTTAATAAAACTTCCTTCTCTCTAAAAAAAAAAAAAAAAAATCATACTCCGTAGTTTTGGAGTAAATTTATGGAGCCCCATATGACTCCCTTATGGAGTCATATGGGGTATTGTGGCACCATCATCACCATTCATTTATTTAGTGGAGGACCCCACAAAATAAATGAATGGTGATTGTGGTGCCACAATACCCCATATGACTCCATAAGGGAGTCATATGGGGCTCCTTAAAATTTTTGGTAGTTTTGAGATTGTTGACTCTATATATTACCTAAAATTAAATCAATGTTCCTTAACTAAAGAAGCTAAGGAGCAGACCATGGTTACTTAATTTTGCGCTACTTTTTGTTTAAGAAGTTACTCCGTATTTTGTACGTTATTTAGAACCATTCCAAAAAAGGGAAAATTTTGATTTTTTGTTACAACGTTCAAGTCTGCAAAGAAGATTGTAGATGATACTCCATCTTCCAAAATTTTGGTCAAATTTTGTAATCAACTTTGATTACATAAAGGTACCCCAAAATGGGTACCCCATTCCGAAAAGTCATCATAAAGGTTACCGTTGTTCAAATACTGATAGGTTGCATTTTTTTGGAAAGCGCATCTTTGCTAAACGTACCCCAAAATGAGTATTTCATTTTTACCCCGCCAATGGGTGGCCATAAATGGAACAACTCATTAAGTAGTGCCCCACTTAAATGCATTGCTCTATTTTTGGACACCCATTAGGGTGGAGTAAAAATGGGTCGGGTACCCATTTTGGGGTACTTTTAGGCTCTGTTCGGCATGCTTGTTCAGCTAAAAAAAAGGCTGAATTGTTTAAATGCAATCAATTAAATATAAAGTAGACATGTTTGGTTGAGCAACTGAAGCCAGCTTAAGCTGGAAAAAAAAGACAGATGAAACGTTTCCATCACTAACGTTTGTAATAAGTCTTCTGATTCCAGACTTCGGATTCCAAGTATGTCCCTCACTGTCCGCGCGTTTTGTGGTATTTTTTGAAGAATTCAATTTCCAGGTCATATCCAAGTACAAGCAAATTGAAGAATCCAATTGTGAGCAACATCCATGAAACTTCCTCCATGTGCAAGTATGTCTCTGGGAAGTTTCCTCACACCAAACAACCACCTTCCTCACACCTCCATTGAAGCTTCTCCTAAGCTTCCACCCATCTTCCTCTCACCTTCCTAGTACCTAGTTTTGGTACTATAAATAGAGAGCTTGGAGAGTCTTTCTATCATCAAGCAATTTAGATCATAGATTAGAATACCACAACCAAGTTTGAGTTGTGAATATCCTTGAGAGATATGTGTTGTTTTTGAGAGTTTTTAGTTAGAGCTTGTATGTCTCTTCTTTCTATTCTTGAAAGTAATAGAAGTGTTTTTCTCTCATATAAGCACGATCCTGTTATTCCCAACAAGTGGTATCAGAGCCTGGTTGAGCTTTTGATATTTTTCTCAGATTTTTTTCAGATAAAATTCTACTGTCTGAAAAATCGAGTTTTTCAGTATTGCTCGGATTTGCAATCTGAATATACTGTTGGATTCGTCTCGTCGAGACGAGAAAACAGGTATTTTTGGGGATTTTTTTGGCCACCGGAAGCTGCCGTACGCGCCGCCAAACGCCGGCCAAAAACTGCCTGCGTCATGCTGACGTCATCACGCGCAGACAGATGTTGAAGACAGCTGACGTCATCGCTGACGTCATCAGCCAGCCAGAGCTGTGTCAGCGACACGTCAGCGCCACATGTGCAGTCCCAGCACAGTCAGCCGCCACGTCACCAGTCAACTGCCAACTTTCACCAGCGCCCAGTCAGCTGCCACGTCATCGCCCAGTCACCGCCACGTCACTGCCACGTCATCTGCCACGTCACCGGTCAGTTTGTAATTTTGAAAATTTGCAGTTTGGTCCCTCAATTTTTGGAAAATTATAATTTCCACCTATAATTTTTCGAAAATTGTATTTTGACCCCGAAAGTGCCTACCCACCACTTTCGGCCGTTCCGGACGCAACGGTGCTGCCCGTTTTTCGAAATTCGGCTCCGATTTTTCTGAAACAGAAAATCAAAATTATTTAGAAGGTGAAAATGACCTTTGACGAGTCAACTTCATCTTCCGGAGCTATGATTATGCTCACGGCTACCAACTACACGCTATGGAAACCTCGGATGGAAGATTTCCTTAGTTGTAAAGACCTTTTTGATCCAATAGAGATGAAAGGTATTAATTCTGATCCGGCCAAGTCAACGGAATGGAAGAAAATTAATAGAAAAACTATTGGTCAAATCCGACAATGGATTGACCATAGTGTCTTCCACCATGTTGCACAAGAGACCGACGCTTATGCCCTTTGGAAGAAGTTAGAAGATATGTACCAGGCCAAGACCGCTAGGAACAAGGCCCTACTGATGAGGCGTCTTGTCAATATGAAGCTCAAAAGTGGAACTTCTGTTGCCGAACATACTAGTCAATTTCAGAGTCTGGTAAATCAACTATCTTGTGTAGAAATGCCACTTGGAGATGAAATGCAATCTCTACTGCTTCTTAGTTCCCTTCCTATTAGTTGGGAGACACTAGTTGTTACTCTCAGCAACTCAGCCCCAGATGGCAAACTTACCATGTCTGTGGTCAAGGATGCACTGTTCAATGAGGAGGCAAGAAGGAAAGACATGAGCACAGATGAGACTCATGCCCTTGTGACAGAGAATAGAGGAAGATCACAAGGAAAACAACAAAGAAACAGTAGAGGGAAATGGCAAAGCAGGGGCAAAAGTCGGGGGAGATCATCAGATGGCCGGAAACCTTCTTATACCTGCCACCATTGCGGTATAGAGGGTCACATGAAGAAGAATTGCTACAAATTGCTAGAGGAGCGAGGCAAGAGCAATTCTCAAGTGAAGAGCAAGGGTGGTGAAGCGCTCATCACAATCTCAGGTGATGTGGCGTATTGTACTATCAATGATGAAACATGCCTTCACGTCTCAAGAGAGGACACTGAATGGGTGGTAGATACTGCAGCATCCTACCATGTTACTCCCCACAGGTACTACTTCACAACTTACAAAGCTGGAGACTTTGGAGTAGTGAAGATGGGCAATTCCAGTTCATCTGAAATAGCTGGAATTGGTGATGTACAGATAAAGACGAGTTCTGGGAGCACAATCACTTTGAAGGATGTCAGACATGTTCCAGACCTTCGTCTCAATCTCCTGTCAGTGGTATGTCTTGACGAACAGGGGTATGAAAACCACTTTAACAGGGGCACCTGGAAAATGTCAAAGGGCGTTTTGACAATCGCTCGAGGACATGTTTGTGGCACATTGTACAAAACCCATTTGAGGATTTGTACGGATAGCCTCAACATTGTTGAGGAGACTTCTCAGAATCTGTGGCACCTGAGACTCGGCCACATCGGTGAGAAAGGGCTGACTACCTTGATCAAGAAGAACCTTATCAACATCGACAAGAATGCTGCACTGGGTCCTTGCAGTCATTGTCTGTTTGGTAAGCATCATAGAGTATCATTTAGTTCTACTTCAGCTAAAAGATCAGAGTTGTTAAGTTTGGTACACTCCGACGTCTGTGGTCCTTTCGAGGTGGAATCAATCGGTGGAAGCAGATATTTTCTGACTTTTATTGATGATGCTTCTCGAAAAGTGTGGGTGTATTTCCTGATTACGAAAGATCAGGTATTTGAGTGCTTCAAGACATTTCACGTCTTGGTGGAACGTGAAACGGGAAAGAAGCTGAAATGTCTCCGATCTGATAATGGAGGCGAGTATACTTCTAAGGCGTTCGATGCATATTGTAGAGAATATGGCATTCGACATGAGAAGACAGTACCACGCACCCCTCAGCACAACGGCGTTGCTGAAAGAATGAACCGAACTATCATGGAGCGTGTCCGGAGCATGCTGAATATGGCTAAGCTTCCGAAGTCATTCTGGGCAGAAGCAGTCAACACCGCATGCTATCTTATCAACCGATCACCTTCAGTACCACTGAACTTTGAAGTTCCAGAGAGGCTATGGACAGGTAAGGATCCTACATACTCACATCTTAGAGTATTTGGTTGTTCATCGTATGCACATGTATCCAAAGAGCTCAGGCAGAAGCTCGATGCAAGAACTATCCCATGCATTTTCGTTGGCTATGGAAATGAAGAGTTTGGATACAGGCTATGGGATCCTAAGGAGAAAAAGGTGTTCAGAAGTAGGGATGTTGTGTTCCACGAAGATTTGACAATAGAAGACATTGAAAAACCCACAATGTCTCGGAAGTCAAATGAGTGTGTTCAAGTTTCAAATGAAGTACCAGAAGAGGACAAAGTGCATGAAGATAACTCTGAAGCAGAAGAAGACGAGGAGACAGAAGAGAGTGCAGGGCAAGGGGAGACACAATCCACCCTGTCAGACACAGATGATGGTAGCTCTTCTCAGATGGTTCCTACTGTTCGTAGATCTGAACGAGGGCATATACCATCGACAAGGTACACATCATCTGAATATCTTTTGTTAACTGAAGATGGAGAACCAGAGAGTTTTCAAGAAGCTGTATCTCATAAGGATAAAGAAAAATGGCTAATAGCAATGCAGGATGAGTTAGAATCTCTGCAGAAAAATCAAACTTATGAGATCGTAGAACTTCCTAAAGGGAAGAAGGCACTGAGGAACAAATGGGTGTTCAAGCTGAAGAAGGATGCAAATGGACAAGTGGTGAAACACAAAGCTCGGTTGGTTGTCAAAGGGTTCCAGCAGAAGAAAGGAATTGACTTTGATGAGATCTTTGCACCAGTTGTCAAGATGACCTCGATCCGAATTATACTTGGCTTAGCAGCAAGTATGAACTTGGAGCTTGAACAGATGGATGTGAAGACAGCATTTCTTCACGGAGATTTGAAAGAAGAAATCTATATGCAGCAGCCGGAAGGTTTTGAGAACTCAAATGATAATTTTGTGTGTAAATTATCTAAGAGT